TATATATATATATATATCTATATATATATTATATCCAGTTTGTATATTATGTATTTATGTATATATGTATGTATGTTTGTATGTTCGTATATATATATATATATATATATATATATATTATATCATTATTATTATTGTTTGTATCAATATAGAGGGTAGTTTCGATATGTATTTATTTATATAGTTATATACATAATATTTGTATATACCAATACGCTAATATTCCTGCGTTTGAGTCGGGCTAAATTTGCAGCTGCCACCAGGACCACATCTGGCGAGAATGCGTAAATACCGCAAATGATATGTTCGGCTTCCATTGACACTCACATGTTGGATAATATTAAACACACAAGGCTTTGGTCGTTCTTGGTCGCGATACTTGCTTGCCGCCGTCTAGCTGGTTGAAGACACAGATAGCTATAACCTTCCTTCTGTAGGTAAATTCCAATCAATGCCATGTGTGGCTTTATTGGAAACTCGAGGCCGTATGAATGTCCAATCTGTCCTATGGATGGCCCAGTCGTGGCAATCGAGGACAGGTGCAGAGCTAATCAATAGCAGTCCTACTTTGCAAATGGACAACTGCATACAATCGAATATACGAGAATGTGTACTTGTTCAGTCTATATCTATACTGGTGCTATAAATTGAGACATACATAGCTGTGATAGTTATCATGCTCAGCTTCAATAAACGACATCTGTGTTTAGTTAAAAGCATGAGGATGTGTACTTGTTCTGTTTGTAACTATGTTAGTAATATGATATTAAGACACATAGTACTATGTTAAGACACATATAGTACTATATTAAGACATCTTAAACAGCATGCCCAGCTCCAATAAACGACACGTGTGCTTAACTGAATGCATATGATGTGTACTTGTTCTGTATGCATCTATGTTGATAATACTATATTAAGTCATATTTGGTATTATATTAAGACATTATAGCCATGAAAATTAGCATGCCCAACTCCAATAAACGACGCGTGTGCTTTATCAGACGCATATGTGCGTTTTGGGTCTGTATACATACTGATAACACTAAAATTAGACAAGATGCTCAGTTTCAGTAAAACGACACGTGTAGCTTTATTACATATACGAGGCTGTATCCTAGTTCGGTCTGTACCTGTGCTTGCTCTCGCCGTTCAACCCCGCATGCTAATTTTATGCTGCGCTAAGCCATGTATGCCTTTCCGTTGGATCTCATGCAGATGTACTATGTTGTACATGAGGTAGATATACAAACACAGGTGCACATACACGTATGCATCCACTTAGACATAATACTCTTATTGTTGGTTAATCATGTGTTGCTCCGCGAAGCGTTGTGACATCCGTTGAGACATTTTGATGAACTTCTCGACGCACAAAGTGGTGCAGGCGCTCTGTGCATGGAAGAAAAAAATAAACAAATTAAGAATATTTGAGTCCCAACAATATCGATAGTAACGGACCCCCTCCCAAAAATAGATCCAATTCTTGTAAACAACAGTACTGACAGTAAATACAAAAAAATGTACAGTGCTACGTAGACAATGCCCGTCGATACTTTGATGCATACAAGCCATGACTAAAATCACGACGATATCTCGTATTATTATATACAAGCCATAAATATATATAAATACATATAAGTATAATACAACTGTAAATCAATATATACACAGACACTGACACTAACATATATGTGTACATGTTATATGGAGTGTCCTTTAACCCTTCTCCAGTTAGAACATGCTACTCACATGGTATAAAAATTGGAACAGAAAACAAAAGGCACAATATGGGAAAGCAGAATCAGTTTGGTTCACACAATCATTGCCAATGGTATCGCCGAATAAGGCTTAAAACGACCCGAAATGACTATGATCTGGAACAAGATTATAGTCTCGTATATACGCGTTTGTACATAGACGGAGAATTATCTTCATGAACGTCTCGCCTAAACTGCTCCAGGCAATTTTGACTCAGTCCAGTCAGCTTCCATTCGTATCCTCAGAGAAATGAGTATACATCTACCTATGCACATACACACACAACAAACAACCCTTTACAACAAGGTACAGGTTGCGATTCTACCATAAACATATGCAACACAAGCTTTTATAGCACACCACCAATAACAAACTTATAAAGAACCCAACAGACTATAACAAAAAAGTATAAACAGGTACATTCAGCGATGCTTGCTGCGTTCTATTTGTGAACACACACGAAGAGTCTACGCTTGCGGTTGCAGTTGTGGTTAGAAACACAGCCCTTACCTCCTTGTCGGTGATAGTGCGCGTGGAGAAATCATTGACACAGTCAGAGAAACAGCGGATAGACAGTTTACTGTAGAGCTGCAGGAAGTCTTGCATCTGCAGCAAAGGCGAACGGAATGAGGGGTCAGATAAGAACACAGGTATTACGCTGGACTTATGTTGAAGGGTTTAGTGTAGGTATGTAGTGTAGGTCAAACGAAATGAGGGGTCAGACGAGAAGACGAAGATTGAGTTGGACATATGTTGAAGGGTTTAGTGTAGGTATGTAGTGTAGGTCAAACGAGAACACATGAATTACGTTGGACTTATGGTCAACGGTTTAGTGTAGGTATGTAGAGAAGGTACCAAAAAACGAACATAAAATTACATTTGAGATATGCTCAATAAGAATTCATAGATCGACTCACTGGTTTAAATTGATGCAAAAATGGATAAAGAAATAGTATATGCCGAATTTTATAAAGATAAACATATACAACTAAGTATGAGCCTGGATGGCCACCGGAAAACTAGATATAATATACTTGACACCTGAATATAATTTGTAGCTATACATGATTATATCTAACTTTGCGTATAACAACAAAACGATCCTATATAT